ATCAGCTTACTTGTCAACATCCTCGCGTGTCACTTGCTTTTTCCTTTTGAACAGTTCCAAGAATTGCACAGCCGTCGGTGTTGGACCAGCACTTGCCACCGCTACAACGATGTCATCCCTAAAATTGAGTAATCCAGGCCTTCCAGTTCTGTCCACTTTTGGTCAATTTTTCAATTAAACGATCTATCTTCTAAAAAAACTAAGCTACATTCACTGAATACATTTTTGAAACTATCGGGGTTAACCGAATCGTACTTGCCCTCTATGTTCTCAAGATCACAGACTAACTTGATCACAATATTTTATGAAATCTGTTAAAGTGTAATTTATTCGTAGGTGATCTTACGCACTTCAGGTAGTATTTTGCAAATTTGAGATCGGCTAAGCTACCATGAAGTATGATGTTTGATGAACCTTCAGGACATCCTGAAAGGCAGCACACATTGAAACAGAGAAACTAAAGAACCACAGTAAGTCTTTCAAACGGTTGAAAGACTACTGTGGCAAAAAATGTGCCACCAAAACTAACCAGCGAGGCGAACGCCGAATTCTTGGAAGAATAATGTCCAGAAGAAAGGTATAATTTGGGTGGGGTACGGTCGTCCGATGATGGAATATGCCAACAAGTGACCTGAAACTTAGGGAAGATGTGGTGTTCATAAATTGTAGCCTGATGATCACACATTGGTATTTGATTTGGTGTCAAATAGAACCGCATAACAAATGCATTTAGGTGGTGCTGACCTAAATCTACTCCTCCATATTTTCAAAAGATTTTCAGCCGAGAGATTTTCTATGCCTGACCCCAGCTGCAAAGTGGATGTGAATTTGTCCTCAATATTACCAAAAAATTCATGCTTCTGCCTGTCTTCAATGAATTAGAAACAAGCGCAGGGTGCAACAAGGAGCACAATATGCGAGAGAAGGGAAAATTGAGCCTTGATCTTTATCGCTTTCTTAGACTGCCGATGGGGGGATGTCGATGTGCGAAGGATTGGGGCAACGTTTGCTAATTTGATACATATTCTGATTTTCTAGCGCTTGATTCAGACAAGATCTTATAGATGGGCTAGGGCTTTCCAATGACTAGATCACTAAAATCAGAACACCCGTTCCTCAAATGTTGGCATACCGGGGCGAGAACACTTCTGTTTTGAAGAGTGGTGGGAGCTTTAGGCACGCGCCATACTTGATCCACTTGATCCGCTTCATC